AAGGCCCTCACTGAGAACACCTTCCTGAGGCATGAACACCATCAGCTGACTGGATGTTAAGTCAGGTCACTTGTGAGACTTTCTACTGAGCAAGCTGTGTACTAGGCTCTATGAGAAATCCAGACAGAAGTGCAGTTGACATCTTCTAACAGCACAGTCTGTCTGTCTCCTCAGGGAGAGAGCCAACCTAAAAGGGCTTGAATAATACGGAAGGTGCAGAGAGAAGTACCAAGTGCTGGCACAGAAACGGAACTTTCCAGGTAGAAGAGGAAAAAAGGATGCTGCCTGTACCAGCCCACACCCTCTTGGCCCCTTCAGCACACAGAGGTCAACGCCTCCAATGACCAGTGCCTGCATCTCTACCTGGTGCTTTCTCTGAGCACCACAAATTTCTCTGGCCCAAGATGCTAGAGAATTCCCAGATGGCCCTCAGGAGCCAGTGCATAAATATCCCTGCCTCCTTGCCCCTTGGTAGGATCATGCTGGGGAGCGTGTTCTGTACCACTTCTCAGAAATTCCAGCAGGATTAAACTCCAGGTGCCTGCAGTCGTTGCTGGTTTGGTGAGACAACTAGACAGACTCTTCCCCTGCCCTGTCTCTCTTCTCAACTCCCCGGAAGCTGTTTCCTGGGATAAGGTTCCAAATTAGCTAGTAGCTCCCGAATTCCTGTCACAGGATGAGAAGTAACAAATTCAGACAACAGTATTGGTAACAGCTTCCCTTCATTGAGACTTTATGGGCCTAAGATTGTGCCAGGCAACTGATGTGAGTTCTCTCTCACTCATCTTCACAGCAATTCAACAAAGTAGGAACTACCCTAACTGTGACCGGATAAAAAAGCTGAGGCTCAGATAGGTTAATCAACTTGTTCAACAACACACAACTCGAAAATGGCAGACATCAACAGATGAACAAATGATAGTATATCCACACAATGGAACATTATTCAGCCATAAAAAGGAATGAAGTACCAATATATGCTACAACATGAGTGAACCTCAAAAACATCATGCTAAGTGAAAGAAGCCAGACAGAAAAGACCACATGTAGTACAGTTCCATTTCTATGAAATACTCAGAAGAAATGAACCCACAAAGACAGAACTCAAATACGTAGCTGCCTGGGGCTGCCGGGAGGAAGGAAATAGAGGAAAATTTCTTACTCAGCACAAGATTTACTTTGGAATGCTGGAAATGTGTTGAAACCAGATAGAGACAGTGATTGTAAACTAGTGTAAATATACTAAGTAAGTAAGTGTAGTCGCTCGGTCATGTCCGGCTCTTTGGACCCTGTGGACTGTAACCCACCAGACTCCTCTGTCCAGGAGATTCTCTAGGCAAGAACACTGGAGTGTGTTGCCATACTAAATGCCACTGAATTTTAAACATCTTCATTTTATGACAACTGAGTTTCCTCCCAATATTTTGTTTAATGGCAGAGCTGGGAGTTTAAACCAGGGACTCAAATAAAAGGAAAAAATAAATTTAATGAAGCTAATTAAAATAAAAATAAACCCAGGGCTTCGGCCAAGAGACTCTTCTTAATGGTGATTCTCCAAGTGTGGTCTCTGGGCTGACAGCAGCGGCAGCACCTGGCAGCCTGGTAAAAATGCACGTTCCGAGGCCCCATTCCAGGCCTCCTAAATCAGCACCTCTGGGCCCGGCCCAGCAATCTGGGTGTTCACAAGCCCCACAATGGATTCAGATGTAACAGAGATTGAGGACCACTGCCGTTTGCCCAGGAATCAAAACAGTTTGATCCTCAGCAGCACTCAGCCAACGTCTACCCAAACACTTCACATGCAAATCAACTATTTGCTGGACTTACTGAAATTCGGTGGCTTCCCAGGTGGCAGAGTGGTAAAGAATCTGCCTATCAATACAGGAGACGAACAGGAGGCCAGTCCAATCGCTCCCTGTGTCGTGAAGATCCCCTGGAGGAAAAGGCAACCCACTCTGGTATTCTTGCCTAGAGAAGCCCATGGACAGATGAGCCTGGCTAGCTGCAGTCCATGGAGTCACTGAGAGTCGGACACGAATAAGCCCACTGAAATTAGGACTTCAAGGGCTGGTTTGGGTGTGGCAACCCACTCCAGTATTCTTGCCTGGAGAATCCCATGGACAGAGGAGCCTGGTAGGCTACAGTCCACAGGGTCGCAGAGAGTCGGACATGACTAAGTGACTTCACTTCACTTCACTTTAAGTCATCATGTGCATCCCTTACCAGCCAGGCGGGGGTCAGGGTGCACTACTTTCAAGGTATGTGGACTCTCCCCAAAGCACAGGCCGGAGCTGGGTATCGTGCTCTGGCAGGGGGCAGCCTTGGCAGGCCTGGCATGTCCATCTTCATCTTATGGTCAAGAGGCCCAGGTAGGCTGGGGCGTGTGCTCACCAGACCAGCTGAGACCCAATCACAACTTGTTTCCTGAAAACAAAACAGGAGGAGATTCAAGGGTGGTGCCAGCACTGATGCTTGTAAATACCCCCGAGGCGCCAATGAGTTCCAGCCGCTGTTCAAGACCCGGAAAGCAAACCCAGTGAATTTACTAAACAAAAGGAATTAGGTATCAAATCAAAATTATGTTCACCTTTATAGTAACGTTTGAGTTTCAGTTCAATTCCAGGGACAAACCACTTGAAGGCAGTAGTTTATTCTAAAAACGAATGCCTACTGAAACACTCAAAATGCCCCAATCTAACTCATAGGCCTCCCTGTGCAGTGCTGTTACGTCACATGAGTTCCTGAAGATGTTAACAGGAATGTCAGACACAAAGTGTATGGCCAAGTGAATCTGAGAAACTGGGCTTTCTCCTCCCACTTACATCAGAATGTTAAAGGCTCTAGGAAGCTGTACAGGACGAAATCCTGTTGCGTGACCCAGGCTGTCACAAAGCCCAGCTTACTTAAGAGGCAGCAGCGCAGAGTGGTTTAGTGAAGCTCCAGAATCTGTCTGGGGACACATCCTGACTCGGCCCCCAGCTGCATGACCTCAGGGAAGTTAGTCACCCTCTCGTTGTTTCTTCACTGATGAAAACTGATCGAGTTCCTAGAGGTGTTATGGGGATGAGCTGAGTTAATGAAGACAAAGCAAATACAACAGTGCCTTATGTCACTAAGGACAGACTCAACAAATGTTCACTGTGTATATACACACATTTTTGTAACTGTTGTTGTTGAGTAACCAAGTCGTGTCTGACTCTTCAAGACCCCACAGACTGCAGCACGCCAGGTTTCCCTGTTCCTCACCATCTCTCAGAGTTGGCCCAAGTTCATGACCATAGATGAGATGGTTAGGTGGCATCACCAATGCAATGGACATATTTTTAATTACTTAATAATTTAACACAGCATACTGCAGAACCCAAGCTGCCCTGGGCACAAAGCAGAAAATTTAAGAGATACGACTTTATCTTTGCCTAGAAAGCAAAGAAGAGGATACTGAACTTTTCTGCATGAATAGGACAAACTTAGGACCAATTGTGACATTAAGAGACAAATGGAGGACTTCCCTGGCAGCCCAGTGTCTAAGACTCAAGCTTTCTACAATACTGTAAAGTAATTAGCTTCCAACTAATAAAATTAAATGGAAAAAAAATAAAATTAAAAAAAAATAAAAAGAACCATCAAACAAACAACAACAAAAAAAAGACTCACGCTTCCAATGCAGGAGGCACGGGTTCAAGCCCTGGTTGTTGGGGAACTAAGACCCCATATGCCTTGTGGTGTGGCCAAAAACTATAAGTAAAAAAGTCAAACAGGATGCTGGCCACTGAGTGTATATTCAACATTCTGGTTGGAGCCCTTTACCTATGTGCCCATTCTTCCCATCTACCACTGAACATTCCTCTGTATACAGATTCCTTCTGGAACGACCTCTACATGCTCAAAGAGAAGCAAAAGAGAGGAAAGTAAGTGGGAAAATTTAAAGACTTTGAATCTAACTCATCAGAATGAGAGGATGAGGCAAGGAACATCTCGGAGGTTTGCCAGAAGCCAGTGTGATCGGATTAACTTCCAGAGAGCTGGCCATGATGTGGATGCAAAGGTCTGTCCCTTGGCCTCGAACAACTGGGAAACAGCCCTCAGGAACACCAAACATCTGACAAACGAGACACCAGCTCAAGGGACCACAAGGAATGATATCTGAGGCCGCCGATCTGGGGCTGTTTGCAAGTTACCACTGACCTCAAGTCCCAACGTTCACCTTCCACTTTTACTGTCTTTGACCTCTAAAAACTGCTATGTCCAAAATAAGCTCAGAAAAAGCAGCAATAGTGCTATTTACCACCTCTGCAGCCTAAGAAAACTGAGTGATGCTGACTAGCGGCTCATGAGGCTCATGAACTTATTTATTCAAGAAATATTTATTTATTGATTGATAATATGAGGATAATAAAAACAAATATAATATGTGTCAGGTTCCATCCTAGAACTGGGATTTTTGGCAGAGAGCAAAACAGACCACATTCCTGTTTTTCTGGAGCTTCCAAAAACAGTCAACTCTGGGCTCTGCGTTAGCCAAGGAGAGACGGGTGGGTGTCCGGGGGGACATTCACTGCTGAATTTCCATACTAAGCACTTTACATCCATTATCTTATTTCATTTGCACAACATCCCTAGGCAGCCATGTCTACTTTCTCACTTTAACAGCTGTGAACTAAGACTCAGAGAGGTATAGCCACTTGTCCAAATGCACACATTTTGTCAAGACTGGTACTAGACCGATATTGATTTTAGGTAGTAAGATTCCAGAGGCCACATTCCACCCTACCATACCTTTCAAGAAAGAAAGATACGGAAAAGTCTTACCTTCACATCTTTCCTTTTTCCCCCAAATGAGAACTGTTTTAGTGATCAGATTCCCAAACTGATACAAGAGAGGTCATTTAACATTCTCTGAAGTATTTTATACTTGCGATGATTATGAAACGTCAGAAAAAAATTTTCATGGTTATTTTTTCCCAAATGAAGAATAAATGCTTGTTACAGAAATGCACACATCACAGGAGGGTTTTGTGCTGTTCACTCGGCAAAGCTCTGAGCAGCTGCTGCACGGGGCACACCGCAGACAGGAGTGCGACAGACACCCTGTCCGCCTCCCTGGAATTGATACCCTGGCAGAAGAGAAGGGCAACAGGTACTTCACGGGGGATGGAGAGGCAGCCTGGCCTGGGGGCATCAGTGCGGGGCAGGGTCTCTACCAGAGGGAAGGGGAACCTGCTGAAGGCAGCAAGCAGGTGGGGTGCACCGTCACAAGGAAAGATCCCCACCAAACAAAGAGTCTGTGCAAAGGTCCTGAGACAGGCAGGGACAAAGCCTGTTGGAGGAAGGGAGCCGGGCATCACAAGGCTTTGTGAACAGGTCGGGTGAGAACTGGAAAGCTTCAACCTAAGAAGTGTGAGCACCACTGAAGAGTTCTATCAAGAGAATGCAAGTATAAAACCACCTGAATCCCACCATCCAGACTGACAACTGTTAACATTTTGCTGTGGAACCTTTGGAAAAAAATTTTGAGGCCCCTAAGGTGCTCACAAACACAGACCTCTAACCTGTTCAAACGTGGAATGAGACAACACAGTCTCTCTTCTAATCTGCTTTTCCCTCTCGACAATATGTGATGGTCACCATTTTAGGGTCAGTGAATATGGATCTGTGGCATTATGTCAACGGCAGCTTGGTAAACCACTTTATTAAGAGACCACAATTTAGCTGACAGTTTCTGCTGACAGCCAGCTAAGTTGTTTCCATTTTCCTCCTTTTGTGGACAAACCACAGTGACCACCCTGGCACTGCAGATTTTTCCTTCCAACTCAACAATGCTGAATTCTCCTTTCTTCACGTCTCTGGTTGTCCCAAAGGCCTGGCTTGCCCTTGATCTGAAGGTTTGCTGTCTGCGTGCTAGTTAGGTTAAAAAAGACGTAGACCTTGTTTTGGCAGAGTCGAACATGGCAGTTTCCACCCTGATCCACAGCAGATGGTGGGGTCCAGGGAGATATTAGAAAAAAGAGGGAACTGGCATCTGGGTCTTCCTTTGGGAATTGGCAGGGCGGGTGGGGAGCGGGGTGCAGTAAGGATGAATTAAATGTTAAACCCAAAAAAAAACCGGTGACATGAGCTGGAATCCAGCCACAAGCTCATCTTGCATCTGACAGCAGCACATATGTCCAGGAGCTGGACGCTAAGGGGGAGACTTTCAGGGGCACCACAGTGTCGTGGGGACACACAGCACAGCCTGCCCACCCTGGCCCCCAACTCTGTCCCCCCTGGTCCCTGTTCTACAGCCTCCCTGGCGTCCCGACTCTGACCTCACCCCGCCAAGTCCGCCTACGTCCAAGAGCTCTGCACTGGCTGGCCCCTCTTCTAGAACACTCTCCCTGCACCTGCCCCAAGACGGACACTTCCCAGCACCCAGATTTCATTCTACCACCCCCTTCCACAAAGCATCCACTGAACATCCTACTTAAAGTGGTCCTTCTGCCCCACACCACCCCCATGACTGTCTATTCAATCTTCCTCCTTTTCTGGGCCCCCATTAAAGGCATCTTGTTTTTCAGTTGTACAGTCTACCATTCTTTACCAGAATATAAACTCTGTGAGGACAGAGATCTCATCTTCCTTATTCCTTCGAGAGACGGACTATTTCCTGCCATATCAGTAAACAAGAACATCACAGTCGTCAGCATTACAGCCCTCCAATGTGAGCTGGAAGGCCTGGGGAGTCTCAGGAAGGAAAGAATACCTACCATCCAGCGCCCATCAGACTGCAGACATTCCCTATGGTGACCCCTGAGGAAACTCAGGATGTGAAAATCCAAGATACTGGCCCGAGATGGGTGAGGTGTATATCAGATGAATGATTTCAGTGAGCCCAGGCTCCTGTATCTTCCCATACATAGAAAAACACTGAATTCCTTAACTCGAAGCAACAATCTTTTAACGTTCAGTCTATCGGCCCCTTTGTTGAAAACTTCTATATAACCTGGCCTCCCCACTTCACCTCCTTGAAGCAGTTTCTCAGAGCTACCTGAAATACTATCTCCCAGGCTGCAGTTCTCATTTTGCCTCAATAAAACTTGACCCAAAATTCTCATACTGGGCATTTTTTTCTGCAACACCTTCTTGCATCCCCATCACTTGGCATAGTGCCTAGAACAAAGGGCACACGCTACATGTCTGATGAATAAGCAGAATCACACAGCCCTGGGTTCAAATCCTAAATCTACTATAACATAACCAGGGATAAATACACCAGTCAATCCTAAAGGAAACCAACCCTGAATATTCATTGGAAGGATTGATGCTGAAGCTCCAACACTTTGGCCACCAGATACGAAGAGCCGACTCATTAGAAAAGACCCTGATGCTGGGAAAGACTTAAGACAGGAGGAGAAGGGGACGAAAGAGGGTGAGATGGCTGGACGGCACGGCCGACTCAATGGACATGAGCCGGAGCGAGCTCCGGGAGACGGTGAACGACAGGGAAGTCTGGCGTGCTGCAACCCAGGAGTCGCAGAGTCAGACATGCTGACTCAACTACAAAAAGCCAGTTTCTTATGTTTTTCCCCAGGGGTGTGATGAAAAGCTCCCACCCTGCCAGCGCCATGAAGATTAAGGGACACAAGACACTGCCCATGAAGCAGAGTCCAGTCCAGACACAGCAAGTGTCCAAGGCAAGGGAAGTGGAGAACAAAAGTCTTTCTAGAGCAAACCCAGGGACCTCACGTTCTTTCACTACCTTCACTTCTTTCCTGGGCTCCCAAGTCCATAACTTTACCCACAACGGGCACAGCACAGGTTTCTTTACGGCTGCCACAGACAGCTGAAAGTAATTATCAAATGGGTTCTGGGGACCACAGTATTACTGTCACTTGTTTACAACTCTGCTCCAAGATCAATTTCTAAAAATTAACAGGGCCTCTGAGGCAGGTTCTGGCTTAACGAATTAAGGCAGGAAACAAGCTTCTATCCACCGTTTACTCAGAGCTGTAAATGCCACTTGATTAAGCCAACCTGGTCCACACCTGAGATGCCCAGTAGTAGGAATTATTTACAAAGCATAATATTTGCATTACTGAATGTGTCTGTTCCTCCTTGAATTCTCCAACTCCCAGCAAGAAACCTCTCGCCTTATCTCATTAGCTGCTCCATGTGTGGAAAGGGGATGACAACTCCTCTCTTAAAACACTGCTGGTAACCAATAAACCTCCCTCTTTACAGAATGTAAAGGAGGAACCATGTAGTTTTCAAGGCACAGTGCTCCCTCTGGTGGTCATTATTCAAACTGCAACACCAGCATCCACACCACCTTCATCTCCCAGTGCCTGGGGGAATTGGCCAAACAATGCGAATTGGCCTTGGGGACATCAGTTCAGTTCAGTCGCTGTTGTGTCTGACTCTTTGCAACCCCATGGAATGCAGCACGCCAGGCCTTCCTGTCCATCACCAACCCCCGCAGTTTACTCAAACTCATGTCCATTGAGTCCGTGATTCTATCCAACCATTTCACCCTCTGTCGTCCCCTTCTCCCACCTTCAATCTTTCCCAGCATCAGGGTCTTTTCAAATGAGTCAGTTCTTCGCATCAGGTGGCCAAAGCATTGGAGTTTCAGCTTCAGCATCAGTCCTTCCAATGAATATTCAGGACTGATTTCCTTTACGATGGACTGGTTGGATCTCCTTGCAGTCCCAGGGACTCTCGAGAGTCTTCTCCAACACCACAGTTCAAAAGCATCAATTCTTCGGCGCTCAGCTTTCTTTATAGTCCAACTCTCACATCCATACATGACTACTGGAAAAACAAAAGCCTTGACTAGACAGACCTTTGTTGGCAAAGTAATGTCTCTGCTTTTTGATATGTTGTCTAGGTTGAGCATAACTTTGCTTCCAAGGACTAAGAGTCTTTTAATTTCATGGCTGCAATCACCATCTGCAGTGATTTTGGAGCCCAGAAAAATAAAGTCTGACACTGTTTCCTCATCTATTTGCCATGAAGTGATGGAACCAGATGCCATGATCTTAGTTTTCTGAATGTTGAGCTTTAAGCCAACTCTTTCACTCTCCTCTTTCACTTTCAGCAAGAGGCTCTTTAGTTCTTCACTTTCTGCCATAAGGGTGGTGTCATCTGCTTATCTGAGGTTATTGATATTTCTCCTGGAAATCTTGATTCCAGCTTGGGCTTCATCCAGCCTGGCATTTCGCATGATATACTCTGCATATAAGTTAAATAAGCAGGGTGACAATATACAGTCTTGACATACTCCTTTCCCGATTTGGAACCAGTCTATTGTTCCATGTCCAGTACTAACTGTTGCTTCCTGACCTGCATACAGGTTTCTCAAGAGGCAAGTCAGGTGGTCTGGTATTCCCATCTCTTTCAGAATTTTCCACAGTTTATTGTGATCCACACAGTCAAAGGCTTTGGCATAGTCAGTAAAGCAGAACTAGATGTTTTTCTGGAACTCTCTTGCTTTTTCGATGATCCAGCGGATGTTGGCAATTTGATCTCTAGTTCCTCTCCCTTTTCTAAAACCAACTTGAACATCTGGAAGTTCACAGTTCACATATTGTTGAAGTCTGGCTTGGAGAATTTTGAGCATTACTTTACTAGCATGTGAGCTGAGTCTAATTGTGCGGTAGCTTGAGCATTCTTTGGCATTGCCTTTCTTTGGGATTGGAATGAAAACTGACCTTTTCCAGTCCTGTGGCCACTGCTGAGTTTTCCAAATGCGCTGGCATATTGACTGCAGCACTTTCAACAGCATCACCTTTTAGGATTTGAAATAGCTCAACTGGAATTCCATCACCTCCACTAGCTTTGTTCATTGTGATGCTTCCTAAGGCCCACTTGACTTCACATTCCAGGATGTCTGGCTCTAGGTGAGTGATCACACCATCGTGGTTATCTGGGTCATGAAGATCTTTTTCGTATATTTCTTCTGTGTATTCTTGCCACCTCTTCTTCATATCTTCTGCTTCTCTTAGGCCCATACCATTTCTGTCCTTTATTGTGCCCATCTTTGCATGAAATGTTCCCTTGGTTATCTCTAATTTTCTTGAAGAGATCTCTAGTCTTTCCCATTCTGTTGCTCTCCTTTATTTCTCTAATTTTCTTGAAGAGATCTCTAGTCTTTCCCATTCTGTTGCTCTCCTTTATTTCTCACTGATCACTGAGGAAGGCTTTCTTATCTCTCCTTGCTATTCTTTGGAACTGTGCATTCAAATGGGTATATCTTTTCTCCTTTGCTTCTCACTTCTCTTCTTTTCACAGCTATTTGTAAGGCGTCCTCAGACAGCCATTTTGCTTTTTTCCATTTCTTTTTCTTGGGGATGGTCTTGATTCCTGTCTCCTGTACAATGTCACAAACCTCCGTCCACAGTTCATCAGGCACTCTGTCTATCAGATCTAGTCCCTTAAATCTATTTCTCACTTCTACTGTATAATTGTTAGGGATTTGATTTAGGTCACACCTGAATGGTCTAGTGGTTTTCCCTACTTTCTTCAATTTAAGTCTGAATTTGGCAATAAGGAGTTCATGATCTGAGTCACAGTCAGCTCCCAGTCTTGTTTTTGCTGACTGTATAGAGATGACTTTTTACTCCAGCTAACTGAAGGATAATCTTCTCTCACTTGTGGCTTTAAGTTGGATGTAAGTGGGTACAGACTCCTAAGGTAATGGAAATTAACAAGACTGATGCCAAAATGAGGCCATGCCTCCAATCAAATGTTTTGTTGTAAATTTCAAAGCAAACTTGAACCCTGAAGGGAAGGAGTGGTGGGGGGAATGTTTGGCTTTGTTTATGCTGAGCCAAAAAAAAGGTTCCCTGTTACTAAAAAGACCAGATCTGAAGTGTTCAGAGCCTCCTTCAGCCGCCAACATTTCTTATGCAATTCCCTTTGATGACTGGTACAAATTTATGAAAATACATGGAGGTGATTTCCCTGGAAATCCACCCGGGCAGAGAATGAAGGGAAATCGAGGCTCGGGGCAGAAAGCTGGGGCTGGATCCTGCCAAGTCAGAGACAGAGGGCAGCTGTGTGCCGGCTGCCTCCACCATCCACACAAATGCAGGTCCCAGCTCATCCGAATCTGAGAATGGGGGGCAGTCGGGACCAGCCCTGCTGGAAATCAGATCACTAGAAAAAGTCCCATCCAGTTCACTCCTCTCAACAATTTTGTAAGTGTGTAGGTATTTCCCAGCTGGAAATCACTGTCTTCCACTTCTTTCTTGAGAACTACTTTCTTCTGGAAAAAGTTGGAAAATGCCCCATTTTCTTACCCTGTTCTGAACAAGAGTGAGCCGGACTCCTTTCAACTCCCCATCACACTTTTGAGAAATGGAGCATTTCTTGCCATGTCAGTAAACAAATAATGTCACAGTCGTTGGCAACTGCAGCCACCACCGATGGGGAGCCCTAAAGAATACGTGCCATCTAGAAGCCACTTCCTCTGGTGAGCCCTGAGGAAGCTCAGGAGGTGAAAAAAACAGGATACTGTCCCAGACAGCTAAGGTGCATATCAAAAGAATTACTTCAATCTAGATTCTTGTATCTTTCCACATATAGAAAAGCACTAAATTTCTTAACCTGGGAGTATCTGGTTTTCTTTAATTAACAATCATCTTTTGACATTCAGACCACCTGTCCTCTGTTGCAAAACTTCTATATAACCTGGCTCCCAATTCCCACCCCGGAGTAGATCTCTCAGGGTCACTTGCGATGCTGCCTCCTGGGCTCGAAGTGCTAAAAACCCCCACCAAATAAAATGTAACTCTCAACTTTTAGGTTGTGAACATTGTTTAAGTCCACACCTACCTACAGAAACACCACCTTGTTCATCCTAAAACTAAACCAAAAACTAAACAGCAGGCTGAAAGCCATCAATGAGAGAACGGTTGAGTCACGCAGGTATCCACACTCTGGAGAACTCTGCACTAGGAGGAGAAATGAGTGTAAACTCTGTCCGCTGACCCGAGGAGTGGCCGTGTTTATTGCTCATCAGGAAGGTTGTGGAGGTGTGTGCAGGGCACCCAGAAGTAGCATCTATCTTCGTACAGTAATGTACTTGCAAGAACAAGAGCAGGAGACACACAGCTGACATGAAGCAGCTGCAGGGGGCTGCAGGAAGCATTTTCCTTCTACCCCAGATATCACTAGTTAAGATAACTCAGCCTCTTCCACGGACACTGTTCCCATGTCAGATGAATCCCACAGGCCCCTTCGCAAAGACTCCCCATGTATGGCACTATTCTCCTTCCTACTTCTATTTCCCCCATGTAGATGCCGTCAATTTTCTTCCGTTTACTTTAGCACTCCTATACAGGTCTCATTTACCCCGAGATTTTAAGCATTTGAGTCCCTCTATCTAGGCCAGGCCAGTATGCCATGGGTGATTAGTAAACGCTTTCCAAAGCTCAGGAATGGGAATCATCACTGAATCAGTCATTTGGAAATAAATTCCTAACAACTAGGGGAAAGGACTAGTCGAGAAAGGCACATAAACTAAACACCAGGCAAATTAAACAACTTGGTTTAAAGAAATATTCCATTCCTCACAGTGGTAATCGAATTCTAGGTGCATCAGCGCCACCTGGAGGGTTTGTTATAAGGTGGGCTCTCAGGCTCCACCGCAGAGCCTCTGACCAGCAGGGCTGCAGCAAGACCTGAGTGTCTGCATTTTAAACAACTTCCCAGGTGATGCTGATGCTGCTCATTCAGGGACTGCAAAGCTCCACATCAAAAACAGCTGCTCTATCTTAGGGTAAGTTACTCCCTTTCAAGCAAAAGAAAAATATGACAAACAGCAAAGTGAGATTGGACCCAGGATCACCCATCAGAATTTCACCTCTGCCTTGAGCTTCTTGAAATACAGAGCCCAAGGCCTGTTATGGGCTTCCCTGGTGGTTCAGATAGTAAAGAATCTGTCTGCAATGCTGGAGACCCGGTTTCCATCTCTGGATCGGGAAGATCCCCTGGAGAAGGGAACAACAACCCATACCAGTATTCTTGCCTGAAGAATCCCATAGTCAGAGGAGCCTGGCAGGCTACAGTCTACAGTCCAACTCGCAAAGAGTCAGACACGACTGAGTCACACACACACACACACACACACATGGCCTACTACCATCTGAGGATGAGCGCAGAGCTCGAGAGCCTGCATTTTTGGAAACAAATTCCTCCAGGAGAGCCTCGAGCAGAGCCAGATTTGGGAACTGCTGGATTTATCTGGACACAATTTAAAACCTTACCAGGATGAAAAACACTAAAATATAAAAGAAAAACAAAAGCAGAAAGGTAGGATTTCCATGGAACATGGTAGACGAGTAAGTGACTCTGCTTATAAAAAGCTTGCTCAAATGTTTAAGAAAAATTTAGACATTCCAGTAGTTAAACAGAGAAAGACCTGAAAGAAAGGATTCAATTCATAGCCACCAAAGCAACCGCTCATTAGCCCTCTCTGAAACTCTGCATGTGAGAGCTCTCATCAAGTTTCCCCATGCTTCCTCCTATGGACCCACAAGTGCTCAGAGAAAAGGTTTGAGAGCAAACGGACTTTCAGTAGCTTCCTCCCTTCCACCCCTCGGTCTGCCTCCAGAACCCTGCAGGGCTCCCGGGGCCACCCCAGCAGAGGTGACGGTGACCACAGAGGTCCTAAGAGCATCAGTCACAGCAAATTCCTGCTCTGAGTCAGGACAGCACCAGAAGCCTGGGGACGTCCTCACTGAACCCCTGGGAGGACGCAGTCTTTCCATTCATGAGCAAACTCAGGCTCCGAAAGGTTTAGGTCACACCAGTAGCAAAATCAAAAGGAAATCTGGGGCTCTCAAAATCATCCTAAGCATCTCCACCATTCATTAAAAACGACATTTTCTAGCTTTTGTGAAATCCAACCTAAGTGCGGCCTCAAGACCCAACCCGCAGCAAGCCCCTGAAGACCGTCCAAGTCAGCAAGTAAATAAAACCAAAACACACGTCATTTCCCGTGCCCCAAGACTGGGCCCCTCACTTAACTTCACAAGGAATCCATGAAATCGTGCAGTTACTCCCGTTTTACAAACAAGCGAACCAAAATCAGAAAAGTCAGGCGATTTACCTGGGGGTCAGGGGATGGGTTTTCGTTTGAAGCGTGCCGGCGGTGTTTTCTTTTGCTGGTTTCCCAAAATGAAAGGTGCGGCTTGAGGCCAGGTGAACACACTTGCAGATCTCAAGGGTCTCCTGCCCCACCAGAAGGACGCGAAGTCCCGAACTGTCCCCACAGTCTGGGCCCGGAATCGGCGGCGGCATCTCGCGGGAGTAGCAGCGAGAACACGCGGGCCCACGGGGCTGGACCGGAGCTGGGTGGGCGGCGCGGCGCCGGCGTGGAGCACATGGGGCGGCCGGCTGCGCAGACTCCAGACTCCTGGGAGGACGAGATCCCTCCGCCGCCCACCTGTGCGTCCTGGGAGTCGTGAAACGAGGCGAGGCGGCGGGGAAGCGGGAGGAGGGAAGGCCTCGGGGGTAAAGCCATCGATTCCCAGACTCTGGGGGCTGCCTTGGGCAGAGAGGGCTCGGGCTCAGCCCTTCCTGCAGCACCCTGCTGGGGTTAAAACTCTGCACTAGGCGCATCCTGCCCCACTCTCTGTGGGTACCCCATGGACTGCACCCGCCAGGCTCCCCTGTCCGTGGGATTCTCGGGTCAAGAATCCTGGAGTGGGTTGCCATTTCCTACTCCAGGGGATCTTCCCGACCCATGGATGGAACCCAGGTCTCCTGAGTTGCAGGTATATTCTTTACCATCTGAGCCACCAGGAAACCATAAGTAGATTCCAAGTAACACATGAGACATGCTAAACTGTTCTGTGGCTCAAACTCAACTTGAATTGGCCTACTTTTCACGCGACAGCCCTATTTGGCCGCCTCCCCAGGCCTCCAGAGGGTAGAGCTCCGCTTTTATGTGTCCGGCTAAAGGCCCCTGTTCAGTTCAGTGCAGTCCCTCAGTCATGTCCGACTCTTTGAGACCCCGTGGACTGCAGCACGCCTGGCCTCCCTGTCCATCGCCAACTCCTGGAGTTTGCTCAAACTCATGTCCATCGAGTCGGTGGTGCCATCCAACCATCTCATCCTCTGTCGTCCCCTTCTCTTCCTGCCTTCGATCTTTCCCAGCCAGGGTCTTTTCAGATGAGTCAGTTCTTCGCATCAGGTGGCCAAAGTAGTGTAGTTTCAGCTTCAGCATCAGTCCTTCCAATAAATATTCAGGACTGATTTCCTTTAGACTGGCTGGATCTCCTTGCAGTCCAAGGGACAGAGGCCCCTGTAACAGCCCCAAACGTGGATCCCTAGTCAGTTTCTAAACAGATGACCTCGGGTCATGCAAGCACATAAATTTTGTGCTGAGCACTGAAATTATCATCATTTTTCTTCATTGATCGTTAAGTTACTTAGAAATAGTTTTCCCCCTCCAAACATGTGAGGGCATTTTTTTTGGTTTGTTCTCCTATTTATTAATGTCTAACTGCGCAAGGCCCAGGGACCAGTTCTCTCCACTCCAGCCCCTCAGGAAGGGTTATTGTATTTGCTCTCCAGGTGGAAGTGATGGACTCAGGTCCGGGACAGGCCAAACGCATCCGCCTTTCTCCTCTCTCGCTTCTTCCCGCCTCCTCCCAGATCTTGCCGAGCAGAAACAAAACTCCTCCTCCCCATCCGGCAGGAACACGGCAAGTCCAGGGAGGTCACCTGACCAAGTGCCTTCTGGAGCGGTTTGCGACTCATTTCCTAGAGCTGCCTCAGCTGCTGGGTAGGGGAGGTGGAGGGACTCTGGAGGCACCCTGATCCACTGTTTCTCTGGCTGTTTTGAGCATCTGAACCCCTCAGACCTTATTTAAAACTCTGATTCCCAGGAGACCCCACAGGCACCTCAGAACCCCCAGGGTTGGGCCCGGACTCTCTAAGTGAATCTGATGCTCAACCCAGGGTAAGAAAAACAGCTTTGATCCAGCCCATGTATCAGATTGCTGGGAACCCAATACCAGGGGACCAAGTCACCCTGCAGGTTAGTGACAGGGTTATGGCAGGAACTTAATGGTGGGACCCCAGAAGCCCCCACCCCAGTAATTCCTTAAAGCAACTTTCTCTCCTTCATCATCATGTTCTCTGAGATAGCCAGTTTTCAGGCTGAGTGGTCTGAAATAAATAAACAGCAACAACACACTTCCAGGCTGCAATATTAAAGGTCACCAGAGCTTGGGGCAGGCAAGGCTGTTACAATAATTATGCCTTGCCTCTTTTAATCCTCACAATGGGGCCAAGAGACAAAATTATGGCTGGGCCCATTTCTCAGATTGGGAAACAGGGACCTTGAGCAGACAGCTGAGCTCAGGGGAAACTCAGGCACGACATCGCTGCTGCCTTCAGGCCCTTAATACCGAAGCCACTTGTGAGATGCTAGGTTTAGCCCTTTGCAGAGAGTGAAGCCCGTAAGCATCAGGTCAACCCTGGGAGGCAGGAACTGTTGTTACTCACATTAAACTGATGCTGCTGCTGCTAAGTCGCTTCAGTCATGTCCAACTCTTCGAGACCCCATGGACTGCAGCCTACCAGGCTCCTCCGTCCATGGGATTTTCCAGGCAAGAGTACTGGAGTGGGTTGCCATCGCCTTCTCCGATTTAACTGATGACTCATTGACAATAATGTGTATTGAGACTTACTATGTAGCAGTTGCCTTGCCAGCTGATTTTTTTCACACCTCTTGTAATTTAATCCTTTCAACAATAGGTTCTGTTTCTCTACCCATCTTCGAGAATGGGAAACTGAGGCCTGGAGACCTGAGGAACGTCCCCAAATGCACACAGCTGCTAATAGCACAGTAGCCTCCACTTTGATGCTCTTCACCTTGAAAACATAGTCTCCCTGAGGGCAGGGCTCTGGCTTTGCACCCTATTTTCCCTCAGAACCACACACGCCAGGAGGTACATAACACATCTTTAATTAATCCAATTCAATACAATTAAAAATGCAACTCCAGGCACTTGCCTGGTGGCCTAGTGATTAGGAATCTGCCTGCCACTGCAGGGGACGTGGGTTCGATGTCTGGCCCAGGAACTATGATCCCACGTTCCACGGGACGAACAGAGCCCACATTCTAGAGCCCGCAAGCCACAACAAGAGAAGCCACCAAAACAAGAAGCCCATGCACCACAACAAAGAACAGGGCAACAAAGAATAGTCCCTTCTTGCTTCAGTTAGAGAAACCCGTGTACCGCAACACAGAAACAGCATAGCTATAAATAAGTAAATCCAACTTGATACAACAGATTGAACTGTTAAGCCTCTCTTGAAATCCAGTAGAACCTGCCATGCACACCTTGCCTCCCCAGGGCCCAGCATAGGGCGGCACTCAGAAGGTCTCCTGTGAACAAGTTCCAGGAGGAGGCGCTCTTCCCCGCTGTGTGTCCAAGCTGAAGTTCTGCAGAAAGGTCTCTGTGCCAGCTACACCCCGCCCCCAGCAGGCACGTGGCCCCTTGGAGAAGGCAGAACAAACTGCAGGAGGCTTGTTCTTGAACAGCACGGGTGGGGCCCGGCCTCCCCCCAGGTAACCCTCCCCCCTCCCCCATCACCCCTATTCCCCCCACACACAGTGCTCAGTACCCTGGAGACCTCTCTCAGCCCCTCCTGCCAAGGCCTCTAGCTTCAGGATCCGAAGACTTAAAGCTCAGTCCCCTGAAGGGACTCACTCTAAACCTATGTGATGTTTCCTGGATGGTTAATGGGTTATTCTCTGTCACCTCCGCCCCTGGAGACCGGGCCCCTCTAGTCTCCGCTGCACCAGGAAGAATTTACCTGTGTGCGTGTTTCCTTTATCTCATGCAGGGTGGATAGGTCAGCGAAAGGACAGGGAAGCCCAGGTAATCCTTGTATCTTGGCAGTGGCCAACCTACTTATGACCAAGCACCCTTTTCGTGGAAGATAGTTTCCCCAAGGATTGGGGTAGGGTACAATTTGGGGATTCTTCAACATTACATTTCTGTACACTATATTTATTGCTATTACACTGTGATATATAATGGAATAATTACACACCTAACCACAATGCAGAATCAGGGGGCTCCCTGAGCTTGTTTTCTTGCAACTAGACAGTCTCATCTGGGCTTTAAAGGCCACCTGGACTCAATTCAAAAGGACAGCCTGCAACCCAAGGTTCACTGTAGCAGTTTTATCATAACCAGGACTCCAGGAAGCAGCCAAAAGTACACAGACTGATGAATGGTGAGAGAAGACATGATATAGAGCCACAACAACATATAACTCAGCCATAAAAAAGATTGAAATCAGGCCATTACCAGCAACACCCATGACGTGGGATGATCATACAAACTGAGGGAAGTTACGCAGGGAATGACAGATAGCCTATGACACCACTTATGCGTGACATCTAAAAACTGATACACACTAACTCAATTCCCAAAGAGAAGAATTACAGAGTTAGAAGACACACAAGCCCCAAAGGCAAAGAGTTGGCGTGTACCGGAAAGGGAGAAATTAGAAGGTTGGGGTTAGCATACACACAGTGAAAGAGATGAAACACATAATCAAGAAGGACTTATTCCAGAGTCTAGGAAACACTCTTCAAAGCTCTGTAATGACATATTGGGGAAAAGAATAGAAAAAGGAACACATACATGCACCTGCACCAGTGAGTCAGGTGGTGGTACTGCCCAAAGGAACACAACATTCTAAAGCAATATTTATTCAATGTAAAATAGGAACTAACTCTCCAAAGAAAAAAAGGGACAAAGATACTTCTTTCCCTTAGCCTCGGCATCTCGACTGCTGTCACACCCTTGGAGCCTGAGAAGCCTTGGATCCAGAAGGCTCCCTGCTTTGGAAAGGAAAAAGCAGCGCAGGACACGCCTGCAAAACCGACCCGCTTTTATCTGATGCCCGCAACTCAGGGAACAAGACTGCAATATCCAGATCCAGGCGGGTCTCCCTATACCTGAACCAAGCCGCGCCTACTGAGAAAGCGCTAAACTTTCTGCCCGGAAAAGCTCAGAAATGGAGTCACCTGGGTCTCTACGTCTCCTGGCGCAGCCCCCTTCTTCAGAGCAGCGCCACTTTTCCAAAGACAGCAACGTCGGGCAATGATGGGGATTTGCCTGAGGGGGTGAATTCTTAGGGAAAAGAGTGGCTGAGAGAAATGCCCTGGGGTCTTTGTTCTGGCATATTCCACTGGAATGGATAGGTGAGGAACACAGGTTCTCAGGGGTCTGGTTGCCAAGCAACCCGGAGAGGTCAGGGAGCAGTATCTGTCCTGTGGATGTTCTTTGAAAGTGCATCTTCCAATCTAGTGCTCAGGAGCCATTCACATTCTAATGGATTTGTTGTTGACCAGTCCCTCAGTCTTCCTCTAAACTTTGCAACCCCATGGACTAGAGCACAGCAGGCTTCCCTGTCCTACACTATCTCCGAGAGTTTGCTCAAACTCATGTCCATTGCGTCGGTGATGCCATCCAACCATCTCATCCTCTGTCATCCCCTCCTCCTCCTGCCTTTAATCTTTCCCAGGATCAGGGTCTTTCCCAAGAGTCGATTCTTCCCATCAGGAGGCCAAAGTATTGGAGCTTCACCAT